CTCTCTCTCTCTCTCTCTCTCTCTCTCTCTCTCTCTCTCTCTCTCTCTCTCTCTCTCTCTCTCTCCCCCCTCTGCCTGCGAGCTAACCTCAGGTTCTTGCTGGGGTCTATTCGGCTGGCTCTCATCAGGTTGTAGGTGTCTCCCTAGGGTGCATCTGGAGGAATAAATCAAGCTTCTAGAGATTGGAATGCTGGGCCAGTTAAAGCTGGCTAACAGGCATGTGCGAGCTTTATTAACTACTATGTGCTAGGGGTTTCGATTCCATCACATTTGTGAATGTAGTTTGGCGTTTTGACTGGCTCATTTGAACTTCAGTTGCCAAGCCAGGTTGGTTTTGCTGGAGCTTCACTGTTGTAGAGATTATCACTGTTGTAGAGATTATCACACCTCTGATATGCTCCATCATTCTCGTAGAGATAGATTGGGTTGGTTTGGACTTCGAACATACTTTTCTAGACGGATCTGTTAGCATCTTGCCACGTCTTCACTAACATTACTTCGATGGATGACCTTTCGCAGGTGTCATGTCAGGCTGCCAGCTGGTGCCCCTTGACGTACGGGTGGCAGGCACGACTGTTTCTATGCTCACATCACTTCAGAAGCGAAGGAAAGGAAGGTCTCAGTACACGACGAATACACCATGCCGTTGGGGCTGACGCATTTGATCGATCCGTCTTATTCTTGTCTACCTCTTCAATCTTTTTGCGGGATGGTGATCTTCGATGCCACGTGGCAAAGACCGTGTGCTGGTGTACCGACTGCTTTTTCCTTCATCTGCTGCGTGAGCATTTCAAGAGTGCACTGCTGGTCCGTTGATCGTGCCAGAATACTGGAGAGCAGAGAGTATGTAGTGTGTGATATTCTCATAGCTGGGCACAATCTGTTTCTTCTTAATGGAGTCGGTAGCGACTTCTCCCCGCGGAGTGGTTTGTTGTCGTTGGAGGAGAAGGGTCGTCGTTCTTTGGAATGGACCTTGGACCTTGTGGGGGGGGGACTGGCAAATGAGCCTTAGTGTTAGGTTGGTGTCGATAGCATTACGTCCATGCGTATGTTGTTTGTTGATTGGACACGATGTGCGGAAGTGGAGGGCTGCGAGGATACGCCTGCATGAAAGTGCATCTATAGGGGTAGCAGTCTTCCAGTTTGTGTCCCTGATCAGGCAGGCACCTGTATATCTCATTGGTGTCTAGCGTTTTACGCCTACTCTTGACTCGTATATCGATCTATTGTCACAGAGAGCTGCCTGGCGATCTGCAGGTGGAAAAGGGAGAAAAGGAGAAAAAACAGCGGGGGGCTGTGACTGACTGTTCATTGGATGATTTCCTCATGAGGACGGTGAACCCCGAATGAGCAGTCTGCAGAGTTCCCGAAGTAATGTTACGCGTTAAGTGATGACCCACCTTAACCACAGTTGAAGGTAGGTACCAACCAACCACTGCCCTTCACGCTACGCTACGCTACCTATCAGAAAATCAAGGCCGACCGTATCATACAGTATTAAAGACATTCCCCATTCTTTGCATACCACAGATCTGACAGGGGTATTATCCCGTCAAAAAAAAAAAAAGAAAAAAAAAAAGCAAGTGTATTAAAAAAAGCAAAGTGTATAGTCCCTCAATTTGTCTTGTACAATTCTCAGAAGCCCCCCCTCGGGGCTGAAGTCCCAGGAGGCATGTGTCAGGTGTGAAATTACGTTTAATTACGTTTATCAAGTTTTTAATTTTATGACGTTTGATTTTGCATGGCATAAACTATGTGCATGCGAGATAGAATGATCTGCAGGGTTTATGCTTTTTGTGAAATTTTGTCTGTTTGAGATTTTTAACCGGCGCTGTGCTGACTTCTCAATTGTCATTGCCTTGGTTATTGACAATGGTTGTGCCCTTTGTTTTTTTTTACTTTTTTTTTTTTTTTTTGAGAATTGGAATTGGCAAGGTGTGGTCGAATTCCCTCGTTATGCCTTGATGAGCTGTCGATGCGTCCAAACAGTCTGAATGTCAACACGACTGATCAAGAGATAACTGGAGTAAGCACCTATTTAATATTTATTACACTTGAAGAATGCTGACGAGTCATTGATGACCAGTGGATGAAGTGTTTCTGTGTATAAACATAGCAAGGTTTGGTGTTGGTGYTTTTTTTTTTTTTTTTTTTTTTAACCACTTGTACCTTTGCCGTCCGGTTTCGGCAAGTCCTGGCCAGTACCTGAACTTTCAGAAGTCCAAGCCCGACGTTGATCAAATTTTGAATCTGATCGGCGGCCGTCCTTTCGTTTCGGCCTCCTGAAAGGTTGGAGGCCGAGTATTTTCGAACCGACGAGTCCAAGCCTGACGTTGATCAATCTGATCGGCGGCCGTCCTTTCGTTTCGGCCTCCTGAAAGGTCGGAGGCCCAGTATTTTCGAATCGACGAAGGTACTGGTGGTTTAAGGTTCAGTGTGGGTCCGCTGACGTGTTTGCTCTGCTAGAAGGCTGGGGTTGATGTGTGTGTGTTGTATGGCCGGCTGCAGAGCAACGCCCGCTGAACAAATCTGCAAATTGCTTGCTGACTACTGTCTTGACGAAGAAAATCGACCTTAACCAAATTGATTGTAACCTGCAAGAAAGGTAATCGAATTGCTAGATCGAGCAACGTATCCTGATTTCCACTGGCAAAAAAATGCAACAATGATCTTTCGCTAGACACTCTGTAGTGTTTGCTTCTGCTAGAAGGCTGGGGTTGATGCGTGTGTTGTGTATGGCCAACTGCAGAACACCGCCCGCTCACCAAATGTGCAAAAAAAATTGCTGACTACTGTCTTGACAAAGAAAATGGGAAGAGGACGGGTCAAATTATTTTTAGGAATTTTTTTACGAGACAACGAAAGGGGGGACCAAAACTGAAAGAATCAGCGCGAGACTGACGATTTGGCTTCCGGAGCATTGGCTTTATGTGCGTCATCCTTATCCTTGTGCAGGGCCTACGCTAGTAATCGTTTCGGTATCGTACTATCGTTCCAGCTTAACGGATGTCCCGAAGGACACGAAGAGTAGGGGTCTCGATTAGTTCACGTAATGATTCACACAAAACTCCGATGCGCACACCCTCTTCTGCTGGAGGAAGGCGTGCTGATTCGCATAAAGTCCGCTGGCTTTATTGGGTAGTTAGTTTCCGGGAAGTTTTCCACACTCTGCTGACTGGTTGTGCTGTGTTCTTTGGATGCTTCACATCGAGGTCTACCGTGCGACCATTGATTTTGCTGCAAAAAGTGTTCTGCATTAGACCACCGGTCTGTCCGTGTCCCCTGGGTCCCCCTTTGTCCGACTTGCCGGTTGACGCTCCTCAGAATCATTGTTTGGCCCTATGGTGGAAGGGAAAATGTTGGCGGCGCCTGGGAAGGTTGCGTCGCCCTCAACAGGTCCGTGAATCTTATAGGGCTGGGCAGCACAACATTTCAGTTCCAGGATAGGTGTGGACTCTGTGGCACAGTGGCAAGAAAGACTCGCAATCAGCAGCAGATTTTTGCGGGCCTGGCCGGGAAATTTATTCCGCTGCAGAGTTGTGCAGGCATTTTTGTTTGGAGATTTTTGTTTCTTGTTGTTTTCGTATGGGCCGTCGACAGCGGAATAATAACAATAATGGGTGGTGGACCAGGAGCAGGAATACACGCCGTGCAGCATGCGTGCTCACGCTAGCGACGGGGGCGTGCTGCCCAGTGCTTGGGTGTGTGCGTTCGGGTAGTACCAAGCATTTCTGCCATGGGAGCACCACACGAACGTGGTATACAGGGGACCTGGGCTTAAACCACCAGTACTTGGCTGCAGCTATCGATGGCGAGCCTGGAATGCCCCTGCGCGCCAATTTCTGTCGAAGTGCCGGGGTACCTTTTCAATTTTTTTTTTGGCTGGCGCTTCCAGCCATTGTGGTCCGGTACCCCGAGGAAGCCCTAAAGGCGCGGCGTGGCGCGTTAACGGGAAAGCGCTGCGGCCGATAGTCGGAACAATTACTAGTGGCTTGAGGTTTAAACCACCACCGCTACTTCGCTCAGCTCACACTGCGGTAGCAAATCCACATAATCTCAAACAATAGTAAGGCCCGATTTCGGGAAACAGTGGTGGCGCTGGTCACCCCACGTCCCCAAATGTCCCATTTCCAGGTCGTGGTAGCTCACCCGGTGTGGAGCTTGGGAGATGGCCAGTCACACGGGAGACACACTTTTTCCCTCAGGCAGTTTTCTACTCCTTTTTGTTTCTTTTTTCCCCACTTTTCCCCAGTTGCTATCGTGCCAACATCATCTTCGTTGAAGAATTTTGAATTTTCTATCATTTTTTAAAAACTTGAATTTTCCATCATTTTTTAAAAACTTCACCTCCCAAGGTGGTTACCACACATTCCCAAACATTCCCAACCCCCGACGGGCTGCGACAGCCCCGACGGGCCTCTGACAAAAAAGGGTTCACAAAGAATCACAAATGCGTAGTTTGCAAAAAAAATGCGAACCAAGTGGGACTGCCCCTTACAGTGGCTTACACACTGTCTTTTGGGGATTTTAGCGATTTTGCGGATTAGGTACTGCAGTGTGAGCGTGCCCTAAAACAGAAAAAAACTCTGCTGTATCTCATTTGACTCTAAGAAAGCACGCACTCTCCACTCTCCCAACAATGTATCCACCCTCAATCATATAGCCATGCACTCTGGAACAGAGGTATGTCGCCTAGTATACCGTTTTTTTTCTTCTTTCCATTTTTGTTTTCGTTTTCGTTTTCGTTACAACTGAAACAAAAAAAAAAAAAGAATAATATAATAAAAGAAAACATCCGCAGTGTCTGATAGACTCCCCATGCGAAGGTCGTCTCCATGAACCCGCAAATTTGCAGTTCTGTACGAACAAGACATCGCAACGTTTAAAATGCCCAAAACCAGATGATTGAACAAGCTAACAAGCATCGAAGACGAGCTCAATTGAAGGAAAGAGATCTGGTATGAGTCAAGTCTAACGACTTCTCATTGGACTGAGAAAGTGATTGGGGATGGAAATGGACAATCCTAACAGATACTAAGAGTCCTGCCACAAATGCAGAGTCAGGCAGTGTCACACTCGCACTTTCCAGAATGTATGCGACTGCACCTGTGGCGAGGCCTGAGGTGGTACCGAGTGAAAACAGGTAAGCGACAGCCCAGGTCGTTCCTCCTGTTGGCAGCAGGTCAAGAATAATAAGGGGCGGTACCAGTGCTGGCCAGCACATGCACCAATAGGGTGCCCGCACCCTAGGTTCAGAAGAAAACGGCATGGAGGTCAATTTGAGTATCTGGCTACAACTGACGGAGGATACATTCTTGGTATAGTGCTTTCCGGAGGGTCACATGACGTACAGCCGAGATTCTTCTGTTTTTTTCAGTTATTTTCTTTTTTTTTGCAAGTAGCAAAAAACAAAAATGGGGAAAAATGGTATGCAGTGCGACTGCTTTCGGATTCTTGACGACGAGGACACAGTTGAAGGAGGATACGCTCTCGGGATTTGCCCCAAAAGTTCCGTTCATGGCAGGCACTCGAATGCTTCCCGTTTCGTGCAGGGAGTCAGCTGAGAACTGCCAGGAATATCTCTTCCTAAGGAAGGGGGGAAAGAAGAAATTCAAAAAGTCGTTGGCTTCAACCGCTCGTACACGGTCCCAGCCTTGCTGAAAAGAAACTCATCGCCAACGAGATGCCATCCAGAAAAGACGGCGTGGGTGCGCCGATGATAAAAACATTTGGTGGCCTGTGCCGCTTTTTGGGTTGGATGTACTTGCTTTTCAGGGAAAACTGCAGCCAGATACATATTTCAGAGTGCTATCATGAAAATGCCCTGCCAACATTACTTTGTGATTCTGTTCACGTCCTCGCAGGTGTCCTTTTTTTTTTTTTTTTTTTTTTTTGTGAAAACAACCCGATCTGTCCTTCGGGACATCCGTTAAAATTGGAACGATACAGAGAAGATTAGCATGGCCCCTGCGCAAGGATGACATCTAAAAGAAAAGAAAAGAAAACAAAAAAAGAAAACAACCCAATCGGATGCTAGGTGTGCTGATAAGAATAGGCACATCTAGTACCGTTGGGGAGGCTCCATCTATTCGTGGGGAGAAGCACCTGCTGGAAATTGGGTCCAGCGTCCCTTGAATACATCTTTGTGGTACGGTGTTTGTGGGGCATATGGCCATTAGAGTTGTTGTTACTGAGCTTTCTTCTCTCCCCCGGGGCTGCGTAGGTTACCCTTCCAATTTGCAAAGCTTACTTCCCACGGGCCTAGCCCCACCCAGGATGGTGTCCGCCGTGCTTCAATGTCTACTCTCCTCCTGCCGGTAATGGCTAACCTCCCACCCTTGGTGACTGCAACCCCCCTGGTAAACCTTTTGTAGAGATCCTGTACATTTTATGGAGGAAACGCCTCTTCATTCTAAAGGCAGGCCGCCACCAGTGATCGTGAAGTAATTGGCACTTGGACCTTTATGAAGTATCGGGTCCACTCGGGTCTCATCATATTGTGGCTGCTGCAACCATTTGTCTCATGTCATT